CAGGGGAAAGTCAGAAAGAAAAAATCAGAAAAAAACAAAATAAACAAAAACAGAAAAATTGGTATACACTTGAATTTATTGTGAAGTAAGAGTCGTCACCAACGCCATACTTTCTACAGGTGGAAACGCGACCAGCGCCTCCAGGAGGCGGTGGAGCTGGAGGACGAGCAGACGCAGACGTCGAGCCCCGGCGCGGGTGCGGGCTGGCAGGGGCGCCTGTCGGCCTTCCTGCACGTGCACCGCGGCTCGCGGGCGTCCTCGCGCAAGTCGTCGCGCGCCTCGGACGCGTCGGACCTCTCGGAGCTGGGCGGCGCGTGGCTCAACCTGCCGCTGCTGCTGGTGCAGCCCAACCTGGGGCCGGAGGGCGAGGGCGACCCGGACGCGGACACGACCACCGACGTCAACATCACCGTGTCGCAGCCGAGCCCGGACCCGAGCTACTCGGGGCGCGGCCTCACGTCGCCTCCCATCGACCCGCTCTTCAGTCGCGGGGAGAGCCTGACGGAGACGGTGCTCTCCCTGTGCGGCATCGACCCCGTGAGTATCATGGTCACGCAGCCCTCGCCGGACCAGGCGACCGCCCCCGGGCAGCCGTCCACGCCGCCGGACCGCCGCTCCCCCAGGGCGTCGCCCACCTCGCCGGCGTCCTCGGCCGCCAGCACGTCATCCGTCGGCTGTCCGAGCGACGACCCCGGCGGCTCCACCCCCACCTCCGCCGGACCGACGTCCTCAGCCTTCCAGAGACGCCAGGCGTTCCGACGCGCCAGCGTCGCCTCCGACTCGGCCCTCGTCAACTCGAGGGCGTCCGCGTCCACCTCGGGGGGCCGGCGCCGCTCACCGTACCGCCAGGCCAGCGAGTCCACCGTGGTGCACGTCCTGGTGCACCGCGAGTCGGAGGAGTACGCCGCCGACGACAAAGACAGATGATGGCTCGGACCCAGCCCTGTTGTTGCTTTGTCGATGTCCGTCACTTCGCGGAGGGCTGGGGCACAGCGTTCAGCTGCGTGCGTGGCCTGAGGACCCGAGGCCTAAGAGCCGCTCCGGCGCCGAGGAACGCGTCGCCGTGTCAACCAAGTACCAAAGAGAGTTTATTTAGGGATTTTAATGCAATAAGACTAGACGATAATAGGCCTAATGTATATAAAGTAAAAAAAAGAGAATTGGACATTTTGTTACGTTCGTGACCTGACACGCCAGGTGACAGCAAGGGTGTAACTTGTGTAAAGTTATCAAGCTAAGTAATAATTATCATAATAAGGAGTTTGTGAAAATTTTTATCGCATTCTGTAAGAAAGCATAGCGAGTGGGTTTCCGTTATTTTTTTACGCCGCTCACCCATTTTGTGATGTGACGGGTGAGGCAGACCCCCGCGTAGAGCGCGCTGCGATAGCTCGTTAGTGTTTAAGACCAATTATCAAACGGTAAAATGGTAAAGAGTGGTACGCGTCTAGTCAATTTTTGTATTGTTCTTTCCTGTCTCAACTTCATACAATCAAAAGGACCTTGATATGCCTTATTCTTAGATCTTAAAA